ACAGGTCATAAAGCACTAATACTAACATAATACTAACTAACTAATACCAACAGAATGTCTCTGGAAAGCTTTGGTGAAATGAAAACTGTTGATAAAACACATTTGGGGACAGTAACAACATAAATCTACGATGTGCAGGATAAAAATAACTGCTGCTCATTGTGGGTTTATCTTCAGGTTTCACCATGTTTAATAAACTACTGTAACTATGTCCAATTTTAAAGCATAAGCAGAAAAATAGGGGTGGGCTTGTTCAAATTTGGCTATAATTACTCACTTAAGCATAGTATGCTATCACATGATCAATATAAATTACTGTACTTTTGTGTTAAAGTCTCTGGCTGTGCCCACAAACTCTCCTTTTCACTATTTTCTTTCTTTGTTGAATTAGATCCACACCTTTAGGTCAACACATACACACATAATTTGTTACCACATTCCTGTCATCTGCATGAATTAGGACCTGGCCTGTTCATGCCCAGAGCTAACTAGCCAATAGGACTTGGTGGCTCTTTGCCCACTGAGACCCAGAGAGAGGTTTCTGTCTGTCAGAGCCCAGCTGATATACTTACCTGTGTCCAATAAATGTTATTTTTATACTTCAGATCCACTCCGGTTTATTCTCAGGTTTCCAACTAAAGAATCGGGCTAACAGGCTGAAGACTTTTATGTCCTATTTCAGATCCCCCAAAGGTTGCTGTTCTCGGCAGCTCTAAAGCAGCATCCAAATACAGGAGGGATGAACCTCTGGTGCTCCCAATGAGCCCCTGTTCCCCCTCCCAGTTGAGCCTTGTGGAGAGCCAGCCCCAGTTCAGGTACAGCAGGGGTGGGGGGGCGTTTATCAGAATCTGAATCAGAAATACTTTAATAATCCCAGAGGGACATTATTTATTTATCCACCCAGAGGGACGGTGGTGTTTCCATGGATCAGAATATTTCAAATTTTTTTCTCTCTCATGTTTCTCAAAAGTTCCCAGTCATGCAATCACTAATTTTAATTTTGTAATATCAATGTCTGAACGTGTGTCTCTCTGTTTTAACTAATATTGTATTATGTGATTATGTGTTGTTTTGTCTTCCTGCCTCAGGACGACAGATGCGAATTAGCAACTATGCTAGAATCTGGCTCATTTACAATCTGTATGAGATTGTTCATTAATGTGCACTGTCCTGATTAAATAAATAAATAATTTTTTTATACCTAGTGCTCAGGGGATTAGAAAGAGGAAGAATATCGTTCCACTGAAGTTCAACAGTCAGCAGGTTAGTCGCCCAGATTGTGAATTTGCTCATTTCTCATTAGCTTTGATCGGATCAGGCCCTTTTTTTTTTTCTGTAGTTGTCTCCAGTTCTGGAGTCGGCCTTCTCAGACCAGAGCGCGTCGGACTACCTTCCACCCAGAAACGACCCACTCAGCCCGGCCTCATCCTCCCCGTTAGGCCCAGGTTTGGATCGCTGCTACTAGGGATGGGACGGTTTCTGAAAACCGTCTGAACCGTTG